GGAGCACTCTCTCCCCAGCTTGGCACTTCCTTTCACAGGTAAACTTTTCCAAGGTCACTAAATACCATGCCACCTGTTTTTTCCTTTCTTCTCTCCTGTCCCCCATCCTAGAACATCAGCTTTATAATGGGTGTTCTGTCTTACAATCCCTAGCAAATACTTGAAAAGGAGGTCAATAAATACTTGCTGAGCAAATGAACTTTACTTTATGACAAAGATAATTTCCTTGGAGTCAAGACCTGGTCTGAATGAATGAACAAATGAGTAGATGAGAGTGAGACAACTAACACCTACTACTCCACAGCTACAGGCACTAATAGAAAACAAGTGCTTTTTCTGTTTAGAACCAGATACTATGGTGTCAGTACCTTGTACGTGGTGCACAAGAAAAGCAGCCCAATAGAATCATGTGTTAAAACTCCCAAACTGTGGCTGAGTGTCCTCACCGTGTCAGGTTTCACAAGGCAGAACTCATCTGGAATCCTCTACTAGGCTGAACTCTCCTCAACAAGGTTTCAAGTTAATAAATCCTGGTGCTATTTTAAAAGGACATTTCACCAAAACCTTAGAATCATCTACCTCGTTTACTTAGATATATAAGCAATGAGAGCACAGAGGGAGAACATCAATATCCGCATCTGAACGCGCCTGCAGGAGCAAAGCTGTAGCCAGTGATGCCGTAGGAACAGAGAACAAGAGCTGCTAGGGCTTCAGCGCCCACTGCCGCTCATCAGCTGGTCAGAAGCAGCTCTGGTACCAGAAGATGTCCCCTCTGGGGTGAGTGTTTTCTCAGAGGCAAGAACCACGGTCAATACCATGGGCTTGGGATGGAACAGCAGAAGGGAAACTTGCTCTTTGGAGGCTACCTCAGCTGCAGTTGCAAGCCCTGGTCCAGGCTCACCTGTACAACAAACCTTGCTATGCAACTGACCACATTATCTCCACTAGGCTGGTGCTGCCATCCTGGAGACTGCACAGGTGTTGTCTTTTGTTCAAACACGGAGACTGCTTTTCTGGGAATGTCTTACTGGCATGCAGATGGGAAGGAAATCACCGCTGTGGTCAGGAACGTGGATCTGAATGAAGAGACTATCAGGGTCAGGCTCTGTCTCTGTGACTCAACGGTGAATCCCTACAGACACATCACCAGCCTCTGTAAGCCTCAGCTTCCATCCCTCTATAAAACCTGCTTACTATTCGCAACCACTGCAGGAGTGACCATGGGGAAGATACTTTCTAGAGTGCTCTGGCACAGGAAGCATTAATTATTATATTACTACTACATTATTCTGGATTCAATTATTTTTTCTTAATTTTTTTCAGACCATGTTTCACTGTGTAGTTCAGTTTGGCCTTGAACTCACCATGTAGCCCAGGCTGGCCTTGAATTTAGGGCAATTGCCCTGCTTCAGCCTCCCAAGTGCTAAGGTTACAGTGATATACCGCCATGTCTGGTTTATTTTCGACTTTCAAAACAATCACTATTTAAAAATAAATAATATACTGTCTTCATCTTGAGTTTAGATTTATAACAGAAACTTCCAATGTATTTCTAAGATGCTAAAAAGTAAGAGTTTTTAGGTATGGGTTGCAAAAATAAAGTCGTTAAAGACTATACTTGCAATTATTTTGTTGTTTGTTTTGAGACAGGGTCTCGCTGTGCAGCTCAAACTGACTTTGAGTTCACTTTATAACCCAGGCTGGTCTTGAACTCGCAAAGCTCCTCCTGCCTCAGCCTCCTGAGTGTTAGGACTACAAGCATGTGCCACAATGCTCAGCTTCTACTTGCAATTCTACTCTCAAATAAAATATATATAATTTGCTACTGGAGAGCTTAAGAGATGACAGACAAATATGACTATAGAGTATTTAAATAAATAAGCAACTGAATATTTTAAAATATGTGAGCAGGGGCCAGCAAGATAGCTCAGCAGACTAAAGCACCTGCTTAGGCAAACTTAGGCAAGAGCAGGTACCATGGTTTGATCTCTGGCACCACATGCCATGCCAGCCCCACCCCCCAGGGCAGGCTGAGCTGGCCAGAGTGGGAGCGTAATCCCAGTGCTGGGGGCACTGAAAATAGGAGGTTCACTATGAGTCTGAACTGTGTAGTAAGACCCTGTAAAAACCAAGTGCATTAAAAAGCAATTATAAATTTTTAAATGTTCTTTATCATATTATGTAGGGACTTAAGGTTCAACATATCAATACTTGATGAAAAATACCTGTTCCTTATTATGCCTAAGATGTTTAAAATGCAGTGAAATAGTGAGGTTAAGCTTGATAGCGTAAATCGTTTGATAATAACAATAAGCTTGTCTTCTGGATGGTTAACAACCTAAGTTTGCAGACCAAAATTAGACAAAAAGGAGGGCTACAAGGAAAGCCAACATTTTGGCCCTACCCTTCTAAGGTCAATTAAGACTCAGGACATATGAGAACTTGTACTGTAACGTCATGTACCTCGGTAGTGTCCCAAATTTTCTGATCAAGAAGATAATGGGGCCAAAGAGGAAAGTGATCGATGACGTAGAGTGCGCCTAAGGAGAGTCACATGGGGAGAAGACACTCTCTCAGGCTTTCACAGAGAGCACATAGGCCAAGCATTGGCCGTGACTCATCCACATGGCTGACACTGACAAAGGTTCTACAATCTGAGGTACAGGATCTCAAGATAAATCCTGCGGGCATTTCACTGACCTTGTCAGACCAAAAAGCTACAACTCTTGTTGCACAGGTCCTGCTTTACCTTGGTCTTAACCATCCAGTAGAAAAGTATGAAGATGAAATATAGGAAGTAAAGCCATGTTGTTATGTTGAGCTGTGGGGGACTCAGGTCAATAATTTCTGACATTGCCAGTTAAACAGAAGACCCAATGATATCATGGGCTTCTGTACTCTTTTAGAATATTTTGCTGAGTTTACACACCTATAATATTCAACAACGGAACTTAAATAAAAATTGGGGTATAACTATGAATGTCCATTTTGTATCTGTGTATTCAAAGTGGTTGGGATAGATATATAGTTGCATTCTCTTAATGAATAGAATGATTTTTTCTAATGGTGTTTGTAAGTAGGATCACAAGTATGCATCTTGTACAGCAATTAACCACTGAGAAGAATGTATGCAGTGTATTATTTGTTGAAACTGTACTTTCGATTTGATTTGAAACTGTCTCATTGCTATATGTTTATCAATAAAACTTTGAAAAGAAAAAAAATAAAAAGCAATTATATATATATATATATATATATATATATATATATATCTAAGTCAATATTTCTTCTAACAAATTAATAAAGTAATTATTATTCTGCTTTGCCTCAGTATTTAAAAATGAAATAAAGCAGCAGCAAAATATATATTTATTTTCTATTTCTTTCCAATCACACTACCCAAGGATACACAGAAGATTTAAGTTAGCTTCATAAAATTGTACAATAATTCATCTCACACACAGCTGTGACTCAAGAAGTTGGGGAGGGAGCAGGTACTTGTATTCTGCAAGGACTCTCTGTGATCTCTAATGGTAACGTCTTTGGTGAACAATCATTACAAAAAGTATTCCCTTTGATAAGAAGTGTCTGCATTTTTCTTTAAAGACTTGAAAGGAAGCTTTTCTGGATTTTGTATTTTGTTCCTTCAAAGCCAGAGAAGGTTTCTTGCAACTCAACAAAATGACAGCACTGGGTTACTCCTTAGTAACCCAAAATCATAATAGCATCTTCCGGCCTCCTAGTCCCAACAATGGAGCTAAAGGAGATAGGAAAAGTGGAACTTTACATTTGTCCCATGGAAATCACGTGATCATTTCTCCTTTAGACAATCACTTTCCAACAGAACTCAAGGCTGATGGGAATGTCCTCCATTTTCCTACTCGGCAACTGCTCACCACCAGATATGCAGCTGAGGACAGCTGTACAGGACAACAGAGCTCCAGACAGAAGTCAAACCGCTTGCAACCTTCCCCACACCACACTATCCCAGGCCCTCATTTTGGTGAGATTTCGTTGAGCATATTTATCTACCAGGAGAACGGGAGGCACTGAGGGTACAACCGGGGATGAATACACAAAGGCCTCTGACGAATGGCATTCTAGTTTGTATCTGGGGACAGGGCAGCCCTTCAAAACCACCAGTCCCACTTGAGAAGCTGCTTTCTTGAGGAAGTGTGAGTCAAATGCAAGTTTTTTTTAAATTGTGTTATTTCAGTCGAGAAAAGCAAATAATCAGGTAAAGAACATATGTTTCGAAGGATCAAAGAAACAAGATGAAGGAGACAGCCGGCAGGAGAAAAGAAAATGAATTCATAAGCCTTTTGTGGAAGGGTGTCACTGCCTCGTAACAGAGCAGCTGGTGGGCTGGTTACACGTGAAAGCCAGATGCCCTCCCTGCGCCATAAAAAGGACCAAGCAGAGAACTGACACTCGAACAGGGCCTACGGTTACGTAGTGAGAACATACTGAACAGTTTTTACTGGAGACAGGATTTGGAGAGAACAGAATTCATGGCTGGAAAAGGCATTCTCAAGCAATTGTAACAAATACTTTATCTATTTGATAAAATTTTTAGGGACAAAAAAATACAACTTAGGTCCTTAGAAAATAAGAGTGATGCTTTGGTAAATATTATTAATCACTCCAATCAGAACCAGGAAAGTGCACCCAGCTGGTACATGAGGACCTCAAGGAAGGCCATTACTGCCACCACCATGCACTTCCTGTCATGCCACACAGGGGGCTGGGCTGTGTCACCTTTTCTCAGTGGTTCTGAGACACTAGACACACAGCTGCGGGCCACAGGCTCAGCCAGGCTAAATCCACAGCACTGGACTCTGGTCAGTGATGAATAGGCTGTAAACGATCACATTTGGGTCGCTGGGTAGAGAAAGTTTGTCTGAAAGTTTGCCAAGAGGAAGAGAGAAGCTGTTGAGAATTGCTGCAGTTAATTGTTATTAATTAATTCAAGAACTAAGACCATTCATCAGCAGCCTTACCTAGTTCTGGGGGCAGAACGGTCAGGCGGTTCCCCTGAATGTGGAGTTCCTTGAGCTGGGTCAGCTCCCCGATTTCCTTAGGCAGCGAGATCAGGTCGTTATCCCTTAGGCTGAGCTAAATATAAGAAACCAAGCAGTTGTCAAAACAATTCCTCATAAAGAGGTGCTCAACAGAAACTGGTGCTAGCCCATGACCTTTCTTTCGCTAAGGCTCAATTCTTTCAATTTATTTACAACTGACTGTGGCTAAACAAGAAACGGTACCAGGAGTGGTGGCTTATTCCTGCAAAATAAACCTTACTCTTGTTCAAATTGACTTGATTCCACTCTTACAAAGGCTGCAAAAGTGAATTGATTTTCTAAGAATTTAGATAAATTACTTACTATCTGCAACTTTGTGAGCTTCCCAATATCTGGCGGCAGGATTTCAAAATCGTTGTCACTTAGATAGAGTGCACGCAGGGTGGCTGCAAATTAAACAGCAATATATAAACAGGGCGGCATGGAACCCAACCATTTGAGGTCTGATCAATACACGGGAGTCAGCTTTGATTAATAACCCTGGCTTGGTGAAAAGCCTGTGACATACCTAGGCTCACTATAATAACAAGCAGGTCAAACTTAGATTTACTGGCTGATTGTGTGGCTGGTGTGTCCAGGAAAACATCTATATCCAAGAGGACTGACACAATTAACAACAGTGGGAAAGGGTGGTAGTTTTTGGCACAGCATTTCAATGCACTTATAGAAAGGATGGCTATTTTTCTCTATCACTTCCGATTCACACATAGTACTACATTTGCATTCAAAGTAAAATGAAGAGAGCGACTCTGTCAACTGCATCTGCACTAAGAGCAGAAGGGCCCTTGCACAGAAACAGGACTAAGTCAAGACAGAACTTTCCTATGGAACACAATGATGCTCACCTTAAACAAATAAATGAAAGCTTTCTGCGGATGGGAGCCATAATCACAGTTGATCATTGTCATAATCAGACTAATTATTATTACTTGCTTCTATGGCCTCAATGACAAAAATATATGAAGACAAAGGGGACTAAACAATGCCATGGAGTTAAAAAAAAATAGCCTACATTAAAGAGACTCTCTACATCATTTGTTCACAATATTACACAATTATAGCATGATCTCAAACTAATAAACATTAAAATCCTAAAGCATTTAGCTTCAACCAAAAAAGGGGTACTGTATGCCAAGGCATGATTTTTCCTGATTTGTTTATAGGTATTTAATGTTTTAAATATTAACAGAAATATTTGTTCATACATCTGACAAGATTTTTTTTTCAGAGCCATAAGAAAGAAAGTGTTTTAGAATTGGCTTCATGTGCCTGAGAAAGTCTTGAAAGGCAGAGATCCTGGGGCAAAAAAATGAAACTAGCTGGCTAGACAAGCTCAGAAAATTGAAGATGTTCTAGATGTCACAGGCATCACTGGAAAAGCAGAATATTCATTTAAGGCATGCAATCTTTTCCTAAATTGAAATATTTAGTAACAAATTTCTAGAAAAATCAATGTTTTCTAACTTTTAGAGTTCCTGAGTGAGGCACCTATTTGCATATAAAAGGAACAAATGTGTTCATCTATGACTAATGATTTCTTATTGCTTGCATAGTGGACAAAATAGGCTACCTCAAGTACTTTTCCAAAGATAAATAAGAATCCTGGCTGGAAATCTGAAAATTTAATTAGCATTTTATTAATGGGTATGTTCATAAGCACTTCTCTGGAATATCTTTGAGCAAGTATCTTACAAAGATTTGAAAGCAACGTGAGAGCACTTTTGGGGAGCTCACTCTTAGAAAGAATGTCAAGTTTCTTAACTGCCAGTGAGACTTGATCTAATTTAGCTCCAAAACCTCTCTTGGAAAGTTAATATGACATCGCTAAGTCCATTTCTGACCAGTCGTGTCAGATACCTATGTATCAAATATAAATAGTGCTGAGCTATGAAGGACTATTCAAAGGTAATCCTCGAAGAAAAAAATGTATACATCTAATAATTTTTGTTAAGCATTTGGGCCCTGGCAAATACAAATACATTTTATTCTTAGAGCACAAAGTACCATGCTAAGGAGATTTACAGAATTAAAAGTTTCTTACTAAGGTAGAAGAAGTTTCCAGGAAGAGAATTTTCATTCAGGTTGTTGTAAGTCAAGTCCAGGACTTCCAGAGCTGGGAGCGAGCCAAAGCCACGAGGCAGCGTGTTCAGCCTGTTCATGCTGTGGGCAAGAAAAACTCATGTCAGCACGCACAAGGCCCACGGTTTGCACTACTCTGCCAGGTGAAAGCTGTGAACAGTGCCTTGATTCCACATTTGCTTTATGCCCTTCAAATGTAATGTAATTCACAAATAAAAATTATACATGCTAATAGTACTGCCCAGAGGACACACTGGTAGAGAGACCCAAGGCGGAGCAGCTATATCAAGCAGTCTCACCAGTGTTGTTGTCTTACTTGCTGAAGTGTGTGTGGGGCGAGAATGCTAAAAGAAAGCTACTTAGCAGGTCTCCAAGACAGCGTGCATTTTGCTGTACAGTGTATACTGTATGTCACAGTGTCCAGCAGTTCTCCTGAACTTAATCCTGTCTGCATGAAATTCAGTGTCCTCTGACTCACACGACCACATGGTCCCCACTCGCTGGGCCTCTGGTGACCACCCATCTGCTCTGCTTCTATGAGTTCAACCTTTCGAATGGGCTACGTACAAGTGAGGTTATGCAGTATTTGTCTTATTCAACCTAATCAATTTAGTCAGAATAGCTACATGCTTGAGAAACGTTTGAAAACTTCTTAGTTGTCATTTTCTCCAGTGGCGAAATTCTGTTACCATTCTGTAGAAAAACTCAAACTATGACAAAATATTTATCTGTGTGGAGAAAAACTTCCCAATGAATGCAACAATAATAATTCTAAAACTATATATTAAGTATTGCTGTCTTACAACTTTCTGATGCATTTTATTTCACTTATTCTTTTTGATGGAAGAGATAAAATTCAACTCTGTGCTGCGCTACTCTTAGGACTTAAAATTATCTCCATTCACAAGCGTGGCTGTCAGGAGGTTGGAGGGAAGAGCTGTTTAAGAGTCTTAGAGTCTCAGGTCTGCAGGAAGAGAAAAACCTGGAGACTGGTTGCACAGTGAAAATGCTGTTCCACTACTGACCTGAACTATGTACTAAGATGGTGCGTTTTGGGATTCGCATAGGTGTATAGATGTATGTAAGTACATCCAATGAAACCTAGGGGGAATTTTTTTCTCTTACCATCTTTTATCCCTTCTATTTTTTAAACACAGGGTCTTGCTATACAGATTTGACTCATAGTGATCCTCCTGTATCAGCCTCCCTAGCACTGGGATTACAGGCATGCACCATCATGCTTGGTTCTGGTGGCTGGCACTGCATGCTGGGGTTCTGGGGCCAGCACAGCATGCAGAACCAGGGATTGAACTTGGGACCTTGGGTTTGCCAGGCAGGTACTTAGATTGCTGAGCCATCTCTCCAAGCCTAAGATCCTTATTTTTCTTAATGCAATTTCCTGTGAACATACCCAGAAGTCAATTTAAAGTAAAAAATAACTTTAAAAGTTGTCAGCTGTTCCTTCTGTATTTTTGCAAATAAAATCTCTCCTTTGCCTCCATGGCCACTGCCCTCTTGACCTGAGACATTAAACTAGCATTCTTGCTGGCCTCCCAACCTTTAGTCCAGCTCCTTTCAATCTGCTTTACTCTATCTTTCACTGAAACATCTGACCTCAACTCATACCCACTTCTCTTCTATGTCACTTCTTCAACGGGCAGTGGCTTAAAACCAAGCTCTTTTCCATAGCTCACAAGGCCCTCACTAGCACTTCAGACTCTCTGCCATCTCTCTTTTCACAGATGGTTTCCCCAACTGTCATGGAGATCCACTGGGCCAGAATGGTTGGTACCCACAAATGGTATTCAATTGGGAATTTCATAGATTCATTCAGCAAGAAGCAGAAGTTCACACCTGCCCGTGCAGCCTTTCCGCTCACCTGCCCACTCCTTGCCTTGGATCGGGTACTCAGAAATATCAGTGAAGTTGGAATAAAACTTCCTGAATGTGCAGGGCTCTGAGCTTTTAAATAGGTCACTGTTCATCTCAAGCTGAAATGCCTTCCTTCCACTTCTAAGTCTGAGAAATTATTTCTCAGGTATTTAACTGGGAGTTTAGTGCTCCCTGTGTGAAATCTCTGAGGACCTCACATGTAGACCAGCATGTTTCATCCCTGTGTCCCACTTCGGTTTCATCAGCCCCACCCTGTCTGGGACCCTGCTGTACCATCACTGCTGACCCATGGCAGGCCCTGGCCCTCACCCCAACCCTAACCCAGACCATGACTTTCACCTTCGACCCCCACTCTCCACAAGCAAGACTCCTGACACAGAATGACACTTACTTACATGTTCACAAATTAAAGGAAAAACTAAATAAAACAATGATGGTGACAATAATAGTGATAATAATGACACTATGCCCTGTTTACCATGTACCAGGGTATGCTCCTAAGGATGGAGTGATATAGAACTCATTTAATAGATGAACAAATTAACAGTACAAATATATCCCTCTATCTAGTTTCAGCTTCTTACTTACATGCCAATTAAACATTGAGACTTAATAATCTTCAATAAATGTAGGCTCATTCTTTTCTGCTTTGCCAGATAGAAATACAGTTTTCAAATACACAGAGGGAAGTACCTTGTTTCTCCCTTCTACAAACTCCACTTCTCCTCAAGTGAGAAGACTCTTACAAAGGTGGTCTCTTAGCCTGGGTGGGCTTTGACCTAAGAATGTCTAGCCAAACTCCTGTAGAAAGAATAAACTAACAAGAACTACATGGATAAGATTTCTTGCCACGTTTGCTTCCTGTTAAACTGATAAATACCTGGCCAGTTTCTGTTGCCACTCCATGCCCATCACTGACTTCACCGAGCAAGTAGTGGCTACAACGTAATGAATGCACTGGTGTGTCCAGAGCATGACGCATGATGAGCAGCTTCATCTCACAGCTCTGATTAGGAAGGCAGAGCTCAGAGCTGCAGTTCTGGCTGGCATCTAGTCCACGCCAACGGGACCTCCCCTGCTTTCCACCACCACCCTTGGGGATGAGTAGGAAGCAAGGCCCTCTGTCTCCTGGAAAAGGCTTGGCCTCATCCTATGGAAGGGGAACGCTAAGGCCTTCCCTTGCTGTGTCACAAATGGGGAGAGGGCCAACTGCTGGTGTGGGGACTCTGCGCACTGCAGGGCAACAGCTCTGCAGGACAAGGCATCATTGTTATTCACTGTTCCCTGGTTCTGCTGCCTCAGCTGAATCAACATTCCTCTGTTCACCTCCGCATACAGACAGAGGATTATGACCTCCTGACCACTCAGGAGAACTGCAAGAATTAATGAAGTGGCATGAGAGAATGAAGGAAGGCACTTTGTAACATATTTCTACTTAATGCAGGGAGAGGGAGGAGGAATCAACCATATTATAACTTGCTTGAACAGCTAATGCTGTGCAAACAAGTCAGTCTCTTCTTGGTCAACATAATGGAAATAAAAATTTTATTGGAAACAAAACACAATTTTAAAAAAAAAACCCTTATTACACCAACAATTAGCTTCTCAATTAGCACTCAAATAGATAAGCACCAATGTAGGCCATCGAAAGGATATATTAAAACAATAAAACTTTCTTAAAAACCTCAAATATAAAAGGAAATTGGAAACACGCTTCTATCTAATAGCACGAATGGTGTCCCCACCCTTTGTCCACCTCCTCATGCCCCTCTGGGACTTCCTTTCAGCACCTCCGTACTCACCCAAGGTTCAGGTGTTTGAGTTTCTGAAGGCTGCTGATCTGCGTGGGCAGCTCTTCAATCTGGTTATTAAAAAAGTTAAGCACCTCCAAGTTCTTCAGCTCTGCTACATTTGGCGGCACAGCTACAGAGACAAAATGCAGGGTGTGAATCCTGGAGGCTGCCTCCCAGCCGGGAGCACCAGCCACACATTCTGACTGCACTATGACCCTGGAATTCACATACAGTTTTTATTGGCTTCCTGGGTTCTTTAGGCAGTACCTTGCCACCAAGTCGAAGCACAAATGTTTCTTCTTGTATAATCAGAACAAAAGCCTTGTCATGGTTTGTATCAGGTGAACAGTAAGGAAGAAGGCAGAAAGGAAGGAAGGACCAAAAGAAATTTCTGCACCAGGAACTGACGATGAAATCATCATGACAAAGCACAGAGACTTCGAACTGACACATGGCTAACGAGTGCAACTGTTTTCTTCCTTTTGGTTTTCTTCTCCACAGAAGACAGACAGCAAAGCCAAACCCCTTCCCGCGTGATGTTCCCACATTGAAGCCTCTTAAAACAGTCCAGCTATCTGAAGAGCTGTCCTCTTTAGCATTGTATTCAATCAGAATTTAAGCTCAACCTTAACTGATAAAATATTCAACTTGCCTAGTTTTGGATTTGGGCCTCTGGAGTAATGTGCCTTGATCAATACACACACACACACACACACACACACACACTCTCTCTCTCTCTCTCTCTCTCACACACACACACACACACACACACACACACACAGGTTATATCAGATTAACAAGGGATCAATATACTGTTATTATATAGAAATACAAAAAGCCAGACTGAGCAGCATGCTATGCATAGCAGTATGCAGATCAAAGTTGCCAAACGGCCGCTTGGGGTCTGAAAGTGTCTTCCTTGCCTGTAGTCTATACCGGCAAATATGAATTTAAAAGTCAAAAGCATTGTTATCTCAAAAATATAGTCAGTCCTCAGGTCTGCAGGTGCCACATCTGCGGTCAACCACCCACAGACCCAGACATTCAGACTTCTGCCTTTTGTCATTAGTCCTTGAGCAATGCAACCTAACAGCTATTTGCACAATATTTACATTGCGGTAGTCTTAGAATGGATCTAGAGTTGACAAAGTATTTGGAGGCTCTGCATAGGTTAAAACTATCCACTTAAAAGCAAATACTGTGCTAATATTTTACACCAGGAACTTAGCATACTTGGATCTGGTTATGTTGGGGATGCTGGAACCAATCACCCAAGGACAGGAGGGACAAAAGTCCAACTTCGAGCTGGCAGCAAGAGGACTTTGCACAGACTGTAATTTACCGATCCCATTTGTTACTCATCTTTCTACAAACATCTGCATGTGTAGTGACCTTGCCCAAGGTCCACAAAAACTGGAACACCAACACAATACAAGTACCTAGAAACTCTGACACAGGCCCTGTCGCCAATGTGAGGATGTGGGCTACGTCTCCTGGCGACCCTGCTCCCTCCTTCTCTTCTGCCCCTGCAGGCTGCAAAGCCATGCTGCCTGCCGCTGTGCAAGCCTCCACCCGGCCAGGAGCACCTGTGCTCCGACCCACTGCCAGGGTGCGTGTGAAATTCCACACACAGATCTAACATAATCAAGGAGGCAGCCACTCCAAGGACACCAGCTGATAACTCCTAGGGGAACAAAGAAAAGAGGACAGGCACACTGTTCGTTCCAGATTGGAGTCATCATTCTGAGGGCTCAGAAATGTCTACGATATCGAGGACTGATTTCTTCTGGAGAGAGGGAAGGCCTGAAGCAAGCTAAAAGAAATACCTTCCTTGGTAGATACGGCCATGAGAAGTAGAAATCAATCAGGTTCAGGACTCAGAGGAGAGGGGCAGTGTCCCGGAGCTGGGCTCTGGATTGGTCCCTGGAGTGGCTGGAGATAAGCAGTTTTCATGGAATAGCTGAGGTACTGGGAATGACTTCCACTATTATTCCTGGACATTCACATTAATGCATAGGAAGCCGACCTGTACAAAGTGGCTGCACTAGCATAATTTGGGCACACACTTGTATAAATGAATAGTATGTTTCATATAAATCGTATGCCTATACCTTCTCTGTCACTGTGTGTCACTTTCCCCAGTTCACTCCCTATTCTAAGAAAAGCAGCTACCTAGAGACCTCGTCCACCCTCTAGCTACCAGGAAACCTACTCTCCCCACACTGATCTGATTAGTTTGAGGAGCAATAAAGAAAGTTAGTGAAACCAGGAGAAAATGATGATCTCAATTTAGCCACAAACCAAGAATAATGCAGCCAGAATTACTGCCGCCGCCCCGAAGTTACTCTGCCAATGCAATTAAATACTGGTCTAAAGGTATCGCCCTTTTGACAGGATGAGAGATTATTTCACTCTCCTTCCAAATCAGTGCAATTTAAAACCACAAATTATGCTAAATGTGATTTAGGACTTTGTTTTGTGGACACAAACAATAACCTCACATTCAATTTACCAATCCTCTCCCAGCCTTTTGATGTGCATGTGAATTTTTTGTGTGTAAGATTTCATTCAAGCTAGAGGCAGAAAAAAAAAATCACACAGCTAATATTTTCCCTAAAGTACAAATTTTTTTCCCTAGCCACAGTCAATATCAAAAGATGTTAACATTCAAACCCTTCTGGCTGGGATCCATTCACTCTTTCAGTTATAGTTAGCAAATGTTTATTATGTGCACAGTGTCACACTCCTGGCATGTGGTGGTGCTTTAGGGACAAAATGGGAGAGCTGTGCTATTCAAAGGCACAAAGCAAGAAAAGAAGGGGCATCGGAGTCAAACTTGAAATGGACCTAGTGATTGGAAAACAAGCTCATGCCAGCGAAGCTATCCATCAAAAAGGATACCAATACAAATTATGCAATGACAACATCATACACATCCATAGCACAAATCTACGTATCATGAAAAGGTGGTTAGCAATATTTCACTAAAGTTCTCTACTAAAACGTTCCAAGGTATCTACCTGACACATGAGCAAGAAGGACCATTTTCAATGAGTGTCCTTCCTGCCATGTCACTAAGTTGCTCCTGTTCTTTCAACCTGTCTCCCGAGCTGGGACACCCAGCAGTACCCCTAGGGCACAGAAGCAACACAGAGCTGGGCACACACTGCACGGAAGGAGTGTGGGGAGCAGGGCGGACTTAGCCACAACCCTGCTGTGTGTGCTCTTACTCACTGCACAACCTCTCTGGGCCTCCCATGTCTCAAGTATAAAATGAGAAGCCTGGAGCATGCCCATTTCTAAACACTCCTGGACCTGTTTTCAACATTTATGAATCTAAGAAAAGATGCATTATGAAAGTCAGTGATAATGGATTTAAATAATACAATGGGGTCCCCAATTAGGAAGCTCAGTCATGTAGAACTTTTGCTTCTGACAACCTTAGACTCATTTTCTCTCTCACCAATGATGGTTCCTTTGGTTTTCAAACTGGCTGCTAGATTTGGGAGAGAGACCCTAACCACGCACAGGTTTACATGGCTCCTGCACATGGTATTTTGCCACAGGCAGCTCAACACAGAGCCTCTGGGTCCCTCTCAGTCTAGGCTTCCACTGGTGGAAAAGAGGACAGAGCTGTGGCCAACCCCTAGAGTCTAGCCAGAGACTGCAGTCACAGTCTCCTGGGATCTTAACCAATCCAGTCTAACAAGGCTGGGCCAGCCCTATCATCCTTCAAATCCTCCTAAATCAAAGAACTTAAATATTACTCCAGAGACATGTCTATCTCACGTGCTGGGCCAAACTCAGCTTCCCTCAGCAGCTCGTAGACTCCTGCCTTGCAAAACGAGAATCAAAATAACAAAGAAACTAGTTACAGTGATGGGATTTTTACTGCAAAAGTTTGTCCTATAGCACAAAATTAATAATTCTACAACCAATAATGTATTTTTAGAGTATTTTAGGAGCGTGTCCATATAACACATAGCAGAGTAAGTTCTAGAGCTGGGCTATCACTAATTGTGTGGCTGCTTACATCTAGATTAATGAAATGGAATAAAGTTAGTAATTGCATTCTTTTGTCACAACACCCACATGTGGCTGGCTGTGCCTGTCATGGACATTTCCTCCACTGCACAATGTTTCATAGTGGATCTCCCACTGTGGAGTACATCAGACTCATCACAGGGCTCAGTAAAACACAGTGGGGGCACCCATGAGTTTCTGGTTCAACTGGGGTGGGCCCAAGAATCTGCATTTCCCCAAGTTCCCAGAGGATATGGATGCTACTGGCCTGAGAAGCCTATTTTGGTACAGAGCACTCTGAATTCACTGGTGACATCATCCTTAAGTCAATGTATGCATCGTTACCTCTGCACAACAGTGATGACAGTGAAATAACCCATCTTATCCAAATTAAGATTCCTTTGGAGCCTAGAGATTGATGGGAAAAAAACTGATGTCCCACAGCTACACCACATCTTGCCAACTTCTGCTTCCCCACATAGACTTTGTGGTGAAATCCGTATTGGCAGAGGACAACATTCAAAGAGAGAAAATCCCTGCACTCCATAATCCAACAAATGAAGTCTCTTCAGCAGCCACAGCACACAAAGAGATGCCACCTGTTAGCCTTTTGTCCTCGAAACCCCAAGGCTCAACGTTAGACAACTGGATGCAATACAGGCTGCCTGGCTTGAGTGCAGCTGACCAGGGCTGTCCTAAGCAAGAGCATCTTGGGCCCAGAGGCAAAGAAACCAACTGTGAAGAGCGAGCGGCTCTGGGAACAGCAGGCCCCACGCAAAACATACGGCTGGGAGCTCGCCTACATGCAGCCCGCGGGAGGGCCAGAGGGTCAGCACTGGTCTTCACAGCCATATGGTGAGCACTCTGCTGCCGCAGAAGGGCAGTAATAGACCCGGCGCCACATTAACACCCACGACGCCAGGAAGCCAGAAGCTGCAACCGTGTGGGTTTCCATCAGAAGCCCAGGCACGAAATCCGGAGGTGACCCCTCCCTCCCACTTCCAGCAAACTTCTGCACAGTGACAGCTGCACTCAGTGCAGAAGAACCCAGAGTGGCCTTGAGGTCTGGTGATTCCTGGGCTGGGACCCATGAGAGCAGGGCCCTCA